GCCCTACTAAAATGTTTTACATTGTTTTACATTTTGACAGATTTGATTCCTACAACAAAGGGTTTCTATTTTCAAAGATTTAGTTATTATAAACAAAAGTTTTATATTTTAAGAGATTTAGGTCTTTGCAACAAAAGGTTTCATGTCATCAAACACAACACTATTTGGTTATTTGTTGCTAAAGTTGCATGAAAACATGTCTAAGTTTGAAAAAAAAAGGGGCACAAAAGACACTAATTTTTCATTTTATTTTTCAATTTTGACATTAAGGTTTTTTTTTTCACTTAGTTTTTGTGTCCAAATCAAACCTCATGTTTTCTATTTATTTCAATGTTGTTAGTTTTTATTTGAAACTGTATAAGTAATGTTTTTACATGAAAAACCATTTAAATACATTTTTTATAACTAAAAACCATATCTTTTTTATATAAATACCAGCTTTTACATATAAATTGTAATATTATGTATAGATATATATTATTTATATTATAACCGTATTTTTTTGTTAAATATGCAAGTTAACATAAAATCTATATTTTTACATACAAATATGTGATTTTAATGTAAAACTATAGTTTAAATGCAAATATAAAACTATAGTTTAAGTGTAAATAAATATATGAAAATACTATTTAAATCTAATAAAAATATATATATTTCCACATAAACATATTTATTAATTGTAATATCTTTTGTAATCGATGCATTTGTAATTAATAGTTGATATGAACATGCTAATTGCTAATTGTGCTCTTGATAATTAAATCAACCATATATCTTGAAGTTATATTATTTAGTTTACAAAAAACTTCATTTATCCTAGCTCTAGGAACAGTAACTTTTTGATGATTAGAATTTTGCCACAATTGTTTCAAAAATCGACATTTTTGGTCCCATATTTTCCTCATATCATTATTCACACACTATCTTTTTTATGATTCAGAATTTAGCTACAAATGTTTCAAGAGTTTGCCATTTTTGGTCCCTATCATTTACCAAATGTGACCCCTAAAGTTTTTGCCACATTATCGAAACCACAACCAAGTAATGGAAATATAAACGAAGGTAATTTTTTTTAGTTATGTAGGAAGGTTATGTATGTTACACTTCCAACATCAATGTTACTATGTCTCTTAAGAATGATATAAAAAATTATGTTTGCATTATTATCCTTTTAGAAATGTCTGATATTTAGAAATTTAAATCAAGTCTTTACAGATTTCGTTAAATTTATTCGAACTCAAAATGACGTGAGTTTTTTTATTGGTATATAATTATGACATGTTAACAAGTATAAAATGTGAAGGATAGTTTTTTTTTTCTTAATATTTATAAATATTAATGTCTCTTAGAAAATAATGACTTTTCTCATGAAAGAGTGGAAAGAGAGGTTTTTTTGAAAATTTCAAATAATTGACTGTCATACGCTGACTTGAAGAAAAATTAGAAGTGGCGTCGGATATGCTCAGAGACATATCTCTTTCGATACCTTCAATTCCATGGAAGTACAAGAATTGAATTTGCTTTTAGTGATTATCGAGGAACTGTAAAATAAGTGCAATTGTTGAAACTTCTAGTCGATGGTATACGATTCTTCATCTCCAATCTATCTGATGCTTAGTGTAGTTGATGCAGTGCTATCGCTATGCCATTCACCAGTGACGGACACCGGCGAAGGCGGGAAGTTTTTCAACAAAACCGTCGTATCAGTGTTTTCCGACCGAGGTGGCGGTTTTAGGGTTTTCGACTCTTCAGCATCTATTCTCCGCTGGGCTTGAATATCCTCCAACACGTCCAACACCACATTCATTGTAGGCCTCATTTCTGAATAAAACTGTAAACACTGAAAAGCCAACTCTGCTACTGATGTAACCATCCTCATGACTTCAGGATCTGATCGGATCCTAAAACCGGGTCGATCAGTTGATCTATCGCACATCTTTGGATCTTGTTTAAAGCCAGATTAGCCAAACTAATCTCGTCTTGAGACCTATTTAAATCAACAGCCACCATCGATGATATTAGTTCAATCAAGACTACTCCAAAGCTGTAAACATCACTCTTATCTGTTAATTGGTAACGATGGTGATATTGGGGATCCAAATATCCTGGGGTTCCTTGAGGAGCTGTAGACACGTGATTGACATCATCTGGTAAGAGCCTTGAGAGCCCAAAATCTGCTACCTTTGCACTAAAATTATGATCAAGAAGAATGTTACATGTCTTCACATCTCGGTGTATGATTTCAGAGGCATGAAGGTACACTAGAGCTCTGGCAGTTTCAATGGCAATGTTCATCCGTAATGGCCATGGTAGTAAGCTTGCATTTGCTCGTTTTCCATGGAGGTGATCAGCAAGGGTCCCATTGCAAATGTACTCATACACAAGGAGAAGTTCATGGCTTTGTCTAGAAGTGCAACCATAGAGCACCACAAGGTTGGGGTGGCGTAATCTGGTGAGGATTCTAACCTCATTCACAAATTGTTGTACTCTTTTGTAGTTGTGCTCATAAAGTCTCTTCACTGCTACTTCTCTCCCATCTTGGAGTTTACCTTTTTACAGAAAGATCAGATTTGATGAATAACTTAAGTGAAAATAAACACCCTCAATATTCTTAGCAAGTGTAAAGCTCTCACCATAGTAAACAGCTCCAAAACCTCCATTCCCTAGTTCCCGAGTAGGATCGAAATGTCTGGTGGCATCTTCGAGTTCAGTGTAGGAGAAAACAGAGGCGCCATGGAAGAGAGTACTCCCATCTTCAGCTTTTGGTGATCTGTCCTTTGATGAGAAATAGGAAAAAAGGTTGGTTTTGTAGCGACGCCAGGTTATGAAGATGACAAAAAAGAGTATGAGGATGAAGGAGGATCCTGCAACACCTTTAGATACAAATTCTTTCATTTATGTGCATTGATGTATTTATATATTTGGTAGTAATGCATTCAATCCAATATTTATATTACCTAGAATCAGTTTAAGTTTTCTGAGTGATTTTTCTGCCACAACCGAACAACAGAAGATAAGACAAAAAAACCAATTTCATGAATATATATGAAAGAAATATGAAAAAAAAAGTTGTAAATACCCTTTTTGGCATCCAAACACTGAAACAGTCCATTGTGAATATTACACTGGCCATCTTCCTGATGACACTTATGACAGGGAGTTGACAAGTTAAATGAAACAGAGAATGTCAAACCAAGAAGAGAAAATATGTTGGTAGTGTTAGGTACTTGAGGATCATTTGGCCCTCGAAATTTCACTGGCAGCTGTATTACTTGACATGTAGGTGGGAGATCAGGTAGAAATACTGCATAACTGATCATCGAATAATCATAGTAGAAATCATGATCATCACATCTGTCGTATCCACTATAATTATATCGATCAAAGTATTTTGAGGTATTCATAGAATTGGTATGATATGTGCATTTGTAGAGAGTGATGAAGGGTAGGATTGAAATTGAATACAAAAGAGGAGTTGGAGAAGTGAAGTTATACGCAAGTGCCTCACACCTTGTCTCATTTACAAGTCTTTCAAATGTTTTGTTATAGATCATGACCAGAGGATCTGACACATACTTAGAAACAATCTCATGTGACTCTCCTCCAATTTCAATTTCCCCACCATATGAAGTACAGTTGACCTTGATCAACCCACAATTACTGTCAGTGGTATTATAAAATGGGTACGTGAATGGGGAAAAATTTGGGCAAATGAAATCTTTTGGGCAGATAGATTTGGAAATGTTGTGGTCTGTAGCAGAGTGAAGAAAAGGAAAACAAGAGAGAAGAACATAGGCAAAAAAGATGGCGAGAATCATTTCACAAATGTTGTTGAGACTCCATACATAATTGTGTATTTACATATATATCTTTTAGGTCTATTTTTTCTTTAGAGAAAGTCTTTGGTACAGTTGGGCTAAAAGAGGTTAAATGAGGTCCCATTTAAGATGCTTTCAGCCTTTCACACCAAAAACTCAATTTTCCCTCACGTGTATGCCCACAACATAGAAAATCCTGTCACTTTTATAAATTTCTCTCCATTGAGCACCACTATCAAGACTTTTGAGTCGCATATTCTTCTCCTCCATTTATCCTTAAACCCTTTGAAACTTCAAAAAATTGAATTGGAAACTTTCATGTGGTTCCCTGTTCATGCCATCTAATACTTTTCAACTGCCATAATTCAAACTTACGAACAAGACATCTTTGAAAGTTAGACACTATTTTATTAAATTTTCAATCTAAAATCATCAAAGAAGAATGTATATACATAACATCAGAATGTTTATAAAAAATAATCACATGAATATATACACCCTTTTTCACTGATAGACACAGTCACCATGAAACGGTGAAAACGGTATGAAAGTGTTGGCGAAAAAGAAATTAAACATTTTGATGGGTAATATAAGTGTTCACCTTTATTGGTATTTTTGCAGCATCAAGAAAATATAAATAAAGTAAGCCATGTGGAAACCCAGCAGTTGGCCTGAAGTTTCTACAAAGACCAAGTCTTTCAAATAAGTGGATGGAAACTTTCTTCAAAATTTCCTTTATGGATCAAGACTTAGACTAACACACGCATTGACTTTTGTTGTTCATTAGTCACATGTAATTATCAACATTTAGTTTATACAATGTTAAGATTTATTTACCTGCTTATTATCTGAATACACCAAACATTATGGATTAAGGCTTTTTGGGAAGTATTTAGTTTTTCAGGTTCGGGGTTGATACCCCCCCTCTTCCTCTGGTACAGCTCTCTCCCTGTTATTGACAACCCCACCTGTACTGAATGCATAAAGTGACACTTCTGTCACTTATCCATTAAGCTGTCCCCATTAAATCGAAAAGAAACAGGAACTTAATGTTAATTACATTCATTTTCATGAGTTCACGAAAACACAAATATTTTGGGCATAGAAACGATGGAAAAATTGATCAAAAAACACACGGAGTAGATAAATATACACAGTAATCGTATGTTGTGATGCCATCTATCTGACAGGGAGTGTAGTTGATGACGTGCTTTCGCTATGCCATTCACTAGTGATGGAGACCGGCGAAGGCAGGAAGTCTTTCAACAAAACCGTCTTATCGCTGGCTTCAGAAGGAGGTGGTGGTTTTACTTTTTCTATGTCTGTGATACTTTCATCAGCATCAATTCTCCCTGGGGATTGAATATCCTCCAACACATCAAGCACCTCATTCATCGTAGGCCTCATTTCTGAATAATACTGTAAACACTGAAAAGCCAACTCTGCCACTGATGTCATCATCCTCATGATTTCAGCATCTGAATCGGATCCTAGATCAGGATCGATCAATTGATCTAACGCACATCTTTGGATCTTGTTCAAAGCCAGATTAGCCAAACTAATCTCGTCATCAGACCTATTTAAGTCGACAGCCCTCATCGATGATATTAGTTCAATCAAGACCACTCCAAAGCTGTAAACATCACTCTTATCTGTTAATTGGTAACGATTGTAATATTGGGGATCCAAATATCCTGGTGTTCCCTGAGGAGCTGTAGACACATGCGTGACATCATTTGGTAACAGCCTCGAGAGCCCAAAATCTGCTACCTTGGCACTGAAATTCTGATCAAGAAGAATGTTACTCGTCTTCACATCTCGGTGTATGATTTCAGAGGCATGAAGGTACACTAACGCTCTGGCAGTTTCGATGGCTATGTTCATCCTTAACGGCCATGTCAGTAAGCTTGGATTTGCTTGTTTACCATGGAGGTGATCTGAAACAGTGCCATTGGAAATGTACTCGTACACAAGGAGAAGCTCATGGCTTTGTCGAGAGGTGCAACCATAGAGCACCACAAGGTTGGGGTGGCGTAAACCAGTCAGGATTCTAACCTCATTCACAAACTGTTGGACTCGTTTGTAGTTGTGCTCATAAAGCCTCTTCACTGCTACTTCTCTTCCATCTTGTAGTTTACCATAGTAAACAGCTCCAAAACCTCCATTCCCTAGCTCTTTCGAAGGGTTGAAATTTTGAGTGGCATCTTCAAGCTCTGTGCCAGAGAAAACAGAGACGCCGTAGAAAAGATTCCCATCTTCAACGTTTAGTGATTTTTCCTTTGAAGGGGAATAGGAAAAAGGGTTTCTCTTGTACCGACGCCGGATTAGGAAGATGACAAAAAAGATGATGACGATGAAGGCAGATCCAGCGGGAACTAAAATAAGAAAATACAACAGCTTCACTTACAATTTGTGTGTATGTATGTATGTATGTATGTATTTATACATTTAGCACTAATGCATTTGACCAGAGATGTGTATTACCTAGGATATATATATGTTTCAGTTTACTGAGTGGTGTTTCTGCAGAAACCAAACAACAAAATATAAGTTAATATATTAGATATATCAAGTCTGGTGTACCCAGAATAATTAAGAAAGAAAGGAAAAGGAAATTTTTTTTTGGTATAAATACCATTTTTGGCGTATAAACACTGGAACTGTCCATCGTGAGTGAGACATTGGCCCCCTTCCTGTTGACACTTATCGCAGGAAGTAATTGTAAAGTAAATAGAGAATACAGAACTGAGAATATAAAAGATGGTGGTTTCATTGACTACTTTACCGTCACCAAGCTTTCGCACATTCATGGGCAGCCGGACTACTTGACATGTAGGCGGGAGATCACTTGGAACTTTTGTATCACTGATGGAATAGTTATAGTAGAAATCGTGATCTTCACATCTCTCTTTATTGTAATTAGATTGGTCAAAAATACTATTTATTTCTGTGTCATAATTGGGATGGTTTCTGCATTTGTAGAGAGTGATGAAGGGTGCGATTGAAATGGAATACAAAAGAGGACTTGGAGATGTGAAGTTATCCATAAGTGCCTCACAACTGCTATCATTCACAAGTCTTTCAAATGTTGAATTACGGATCAAGACCAAAGCTTCATCAGACACATACTTGCCAACAATCTGATATGAGTCTCTTCCAATTTCAATTTCCCCACCCTTCAAAGTACAGTTGACCTGGATCAACCCGCATTGAGTGTTACTGTCATTATAAAATGGGTACTTGAATTGTGCTAAATTTGGACAACTGAAACTTTCTGGGCAGGTAGACATAGAAGTGTTGTGTTCTGTAGCAGAGTGAATGAATTGTAGAAAAGAGAGAACAATGGAGGCTAAAAAGAAGATGCTAATCATTTTAAGTGTCCAACAGAAAAGGCTAGACGCTTAATATCGCCTGTGTCCTTGAGAATCTATTATATATCTCCTCTCGGTCTATGTGTTCTATAGAGGAAGTCTTTGAAACAGTAAAGCTGAAAGATGTGAGGTCATATGTGAGTAGCATTTAATCAGCGTTCACACCCAAATACTCAACTTGCCCCAACGTGCATGCCAAAGGCATAGAAATTCTGTAATTTTCTTCTTATTGATGAAGACCCTCAAGGCTTTTGAGTCACTGACTCTTCACCGATCCATCCATTCTTAACCCCTTTTAAATGCCAAAACATCCCTTGGAGAGTTTCATGTGGTTGCCATTATATGCCAATCTAATACGTCTCAACTTAGAATAATCTTTTTTTTTAACAGCCAGAATAATCCAAAATTACGAATAAGCTACATTTTTAGACCCTAGAAACCATTTCCTTAAATTTCCAATATCACATCATCCTCGAAGAAAGTATATACTTTTTCACTGACATAAATGTTCAACCACGAAATTGACCTTATATAGGATGAATCATTGATCAATGTTAAAGTTGGTTCGGAATCATGGACACAGATCCAATCGATACGACCTACTTAAAGAAATAATCAAGGTAACATAAAGCTTTCACATGTTTTAATTAATTGTGGTTTAACAGCATCAAAATATAAATAAATTTAGGGTGTTTTACCATATGGGAACTCAGCACTGGACTTGAAGTTTCTATTAAAAACAAAGTCTTTAAACAAGTGGGACAGAAATTTTAATTTTCTTTATCGATCAAGACAAACTATCAAGACTTGACTCATTGACCGTTGACTCTCCATGGTCTCTGCTCCATTGAGCAATTATCATCCTTGCTTTCTTTGAAACACGACATTAATTAATTTCATGCAAAATGTGAGAGAGGAAGCATCTGTTGAAGTTGACGAATGTGTTAAGGGACGTAAAATATCAAAATTACTTTACGAATGTGTTGTTAATAGGCGGAGCTAGAATATTTGCAAAAGGTGTGAAATATACTACAATTTGATTATAGTTTTATTTTTTGAGGGGTAATTAGATCTTTAACTGAAAATTTTAAACAAAATTTCTTAAAGATATCTAATAACTACCAAACTTGAAGAGAGGCAAGCGCAAGTGCGCAACTATCATTCATTCTCATATCGCATTGGCCCACAGTTAGCAGTCTACTTGAGCATTTGTTTGACTAGGGCATTAGGGTGTTTTTCTTTTTTACTTAATCTTATAAAAAAAATCTTAATAAATTAAGTGACGAAAATGATATCATTAAGTGGTAGTTCTATATCTATTTTTCCAAAATACCTCCTAACAAATTAGGTTTGCTTTATTGCAAACTTGTAATCGTTGTACTTCTACTTTTTTTTTTTTTTTTTAGAAAAATCTAATTAGTTATCCATAATTTGTATATAACAATTATTAATTTTGAGTTACAAATTGATGATGTATATTTTTAATCTTATTTTGTATTTATTTAAAATTTAAAAGATATTTAATGTGAGTACATTTTTAATTTATTTTGATTATTAAATAAATGATCATTTTGCATATTTATATCTTATAAAAATTATTTAAAAAATGATAATTTATTATTTTTAAACGTGAGGGTAAAATAGTTGTTTATTTAGATTCAACTAGTGCATTCGGTCCAAATATATATATATATATATATATATATATAGATATATATATATATATATATATATATATATATATATATATATATATATATATATATATCACAGTAATACTTTATCAATTTAGTATATTTTATAAATTCATGACATAACAAAGAAAAAAAAACAGGGCCTTAGTATTGTTTTGTTCAAGAACCTAGCGACACCTTTTTTTCTTTTGGAACGACGAGCAAATATTTTAGCACAAAAAAGAGACTTAAGCGAGAAGTTGAAGTTAGATACAACGAAAGTACGAAATAGGAGACATACACCAAGCAACCCAATCAAGATTACAAAACTTGGACCTATTTTTGATCCAGTAAAAAGTATTAATGCTAATATCATCCTCAATAAGCAGAACCGCTCCCTTCGTTCATAAAAATAATACCATTACGGGCCTTCCAAATAAATCAATGATAGACATAAGTAATCAATAAGGTGAGATTCTGGAGACGTTTGTTGTTGCTCCCTGAATCCATCAAATCCATTACGTTTGAGCAAGAAGCATGTTACAACTTGAAGACATCCAACCAATCAACAATCCATTTCCTTAACGAAGAAGCGAAATCACAGGAGAAGAAAAGGTAATCCCCACTCTCATCAGCCGAGAGACAAAAAGGACAAAGACTTACACAACCCCATGCATAATCATATTAGGAAAATTTTGAATTTTGTTCTGAAAAACACGCCAAACAAATGAGTTACTTTAAAGAGAAATCCAGTTAACCCATGTAAAATTCCAAGTCAAGATTATTGGGTTATTGGTGTTGGATTAAGGTGTCTAAACTCATAACTAAATTGGTATAAACTTGTGATTAGAAGCAAAGTCCTTTTTGGGTTGCCATCATAACTAGAAACTGATTAGGATGACATTTTTAGAGAGAGAAAATAATTTATTAGTTTATTATATGATTAATAAATTAATTTGAAATATATTAAATTAATTAATAATTTATCAGAATTAATTTGGAATTAATTTGGGGTCAATTGGAATTAATTAGAAGTGCAAGGGTTGCTTTGTAATTGCTTAATAATCGAGCAAAGGAGAGGTTCTACAAACCTCCTATGGTGGACGGTTTTGGAGTGCCTTGTAAGGCAATCTAAAATGCTCCATTTGATATAAGAAAAGTAGATAATCACTAGGATTTGAAATACTATGATTTGAAATAATATTATTCTATGTTCAAATATACAGTTTCTAGGGTTTCCTGACAGCTATATAAAAGGACCATTACCTTGTAATTTTCATCCAATCATTTTAAGAGAACCCTAGCCAAAAATTACATCCCCTCTCCTCTCACCTCTCTTGTGTTCTAGTTTCTAGCTTTGGGTGTGAGCCATTAGAGACATCATACTTTTGATGCTTGCTTTCTAAAGATCTACAAGGAAGGAATCAAAGATTGTTTGTTATAACAATTCAAAAGGTATGTAAACCTAAATCTAGTGATTTCAATTTTACTAGGATTCATATAGGGTTTATAGTTCATAGTATGTTGTCTTTAATGTGAAGACGTAGATCCTTATAGGTTACATGTACCCTTAATTGTTAAGTGTTATTTTTCCACATGTACATAATTTTTATAACCTATAAAACTCATCATTGGTATTAGAGCGTGATTGTCTAACATTGATTGTGCATGAGATGAACTGAAAAAAAAAACAAAAACAAAAATGAAAAAGGCATGTCGCGCTTTTCGGGTTTTTTGTTTTTTGCTTGTTTTTCTTGCCTTATCTGATTAGTAGGTTGTTTTTAGTCATTATCTGATGTCGGTTCTGTTAAAAATCCAAATTTTAATTGCCTAATATGATTAAAAACCTAATTTGAGATTTAAGGAGATAAATATAGGAATATAATTTTTTGTTATAAGATAATTGAATGAATTATCCTCATGGATTTTAATATTTAATTTAATTAATGTTAATCAAAAGATAAATATTAAAGCCATAATTTATTTAAATGATTTAATTAATTGTTTAATTAAAAGATAAAGATAAAATCGTTAATTGGTTTAAAAAGATTAATTAATTAATAGTTAAATTAAAATTAAATTTTAAATCCTGAAGATTTTAAAATGTTTAAAATACACCCTATACATATATATAACAACTTTCATACTATATGTATAACAAAAGCCAGTCGAATCAATAGTAGGACTCATTCACGAAGCCATGCTATAGGAATGGTATAAGGAAACAACATATACAATGACTGTTGAATGGGTGTCCACCACTCCTTTGTGTGGTGGAGGGTCATTAGCTGAACGGGTTTGATAGGATATAAAAGATTAAAAGTATAATAATAAAGTACTAGAATCTTCTTCATAAAAAACTCACTGTAGTTATTTTAGGAAAAATGTGAAATGTATGCTAATCCATGAAAACGCACATCATTTCTTTGTTAAGTCGTTGTGTGTGGTTAACCAGCACACTAATGTGGGAGTGTAAAGTAGAAATGATGGTACATAATCGATTTTGTGATTGTTGATGGAGCATGTATGGTTTACCAACACATCAAAGTGAGATCATAAATGACTATGAGTATGTCATGCGTGTTTGCATGGTTATTCACATCTTGTTTGTGATCATCGGTATCCCAGTCACAAATTGAAAAGCATAATCAGACATTAAACATGCCATTGATAAGATTTAATGAATCTCAAAAGATCTAGGAGTTTCATATTAGATTGAAATTGGAATTGTGCCTACCTAAATAAATTCATAATCAGATTATGACATCCCTCTTGTCATTTTGAATTGTATTTAGGATCCTAGCCTTGAATATTAATTTGGGTTAAAATATAAAGGACATACATCAACTAACTAAAAATGTATCTCTCAACAGATGTTTGGAAATGGTAAAATTATGCTACTCAAAACTCCACTCAAAATTCAAACTTCACTCTCTTATCGATTCTATCAAAGGAAAAGTTCACTGGTCCAAACAACATGGACATGATGAGAAACTTGAAGATGACTCTTCGTTATGAGAAAAAAAGTATGTTCTCAATTACCCTATTCCTGAGATTGATGAATTGATTGCTAATCATGAAGAATTAACTCTTCATAAACAACATACTAACGATGCCAACAAGGTCGCTTGCATAATGGTTGCAACCATGATACCCGAGCTACAAAAGTTCTATGAGGAATACTGGCCATATGAAATGATATTGGATCTTGCTGAAAAGTTTCACAAGAAGGAAAGACAAGAATGTTATGTGGTCGTCAAGTCCCTAATGGGGTGTAAGCTAAAGGAAGGAGAATCTGTATGAGCTCATGTGCAAAAGATGAAGAGA